GCACAGAGTGGTGCGCCGCGTCCCCCCTTTACACTACTAGCCAAAACAGAACTGGCTTAGTGCATCCTACTTACCTTCCTCAGTAGGCTTGAAGCCCACCGCCCCCTTTAAGATGATTCCCTTCCTGGAGTAGTGCGACTGGACGACATGTACCTTTATGGAATATGTGAACTTGACTTCAAAAGTACTTACTAGTTAGTGGTTACAGGTGCACTGGCCAGTGGCTACTATCTAGTCCTGACAAATTGAGAGTCGGGAATCGTCGCAAAGAGAAGCTGAGAAAGCCTAGGTAGATTGCTCCATACTCCGTATCTATTCAGTAACCCCCATCAGAACCAGGTAGTACCTACGTCTGTGTTCTCTGTGTTTTTGGTGCAAACCCACATCTTTCCCTCCCCTTTCTTTTCTTTTGGTCTTCCCGTCCCAGCCTGTAGGTAGTCATGGAGTTGGGACTCACTCATCTCCGATTTATCTGGTTAAAAATGATATTTTTAGCGTGTGATTTTTGAACGGTCCAGTCTGCGAGCCGTATGCACATACTTGGTTCCGATCACGGAGTTTCAGGCGTCTCCTTTTCTTGCTATTCCCTCATCCCTTCCTAGGTATCTTGCTTTTTCCAATCCTATTTTCTCTGTCTTGAAAACTTGCATGATATTGAACTTTGTCTCATTATTCGAATATTGTATGATTGCCTTCATGATGAAAGTAGAAAAAGAAGCAGTCTCATGAGGAAAGCTAATTTAAATTAAAGATGATAAATAAGTGTTTAATCTTATTATAAATGGGAATTTTTGCTTTGCTAGTACTAGGTAACTTCCACACAGTATCGTCGAAAGGGTTAGGAACCCAAGATTGAACTCTTAATTTTAAAGAAATAAAATATAAAATAAAATAAAAAGGGAAAAAAGAGGGGAAAAGAAAAAGAGGAAAAGGGAAAAAGGGAAAAGAGGACCCATCGAAACCTTGAGGGTCACCCAAGGAACTGGTTCCCCATTTGGAGATTCAGCATTTCCCACTTAGCAATTAGTAGATTCATTTTTGGTACTCTGTAATTTACTTTCTGAGGTTTATTATTATTATTATTATTATTATTATTTTTGATTTTATTTTGTTAACACTGGCGCCGTTTCGTAGCCTAAGCAGCCCAAAGTAACGATCTGCAACCGTCTCCGACGGGACGTCGTCAGTGGCACTAGCCCAGCACCAACACGGCAACGCCAGGGCTTGCCTTTGTCCCTGCGGTCCATTACTGCTCATGCTGAGATTCTGTGTTTGTTCATAAGCTTCGCCGATCCCCTTCGGGTCCTTCCCCAGACTGTCTTTCCTTCTTCCTATCTGTCGGGTTCAAGGGCCTAATATTCCATCTTCCTCCTCGATTTTCTTGGTGTCGCACCTGGGCACAAACGCAGATTATCACCTTTCTGGTCGTTGTTTTGTCTGCGAGTGCAGAAGAAATCTCCCGACACTTGCGCATCTTGTCCTCATTCAACTGCCTACCTTGCGCCAGAGCATATACAACGCTCAGTTGATCGTCGTCAAGCTCTCATTCTGATCCTTCTCCTTCATCTTACACAGTTCTTCAACACGCTTCAACCGGAGTCCCACGAACTTGCCTACTGTTTCCTCGCTTCCCTATTAACTCAACCTGCTTGTCCTGGAGCTGTTCGAGGATTCGTGTCTCTTTGCGACTTCTTTGAGTTATAACATAAGAACACATACACCTAGCCTCCATGACGATGGTCATTGAGAACCAGAATCGCCAGTATGGCGGAATGAGTTTCGACAGTGTCTACTCACATAATGTACCACATCACGCACCCCAATTCACTGATCCTTGGGCTTCTGCGCATACCTCTTCCCACTCAACTCCTCCAGTGTACGCTACTTCCATGGGCATCAGTCATACCAAGCCGGAGGAAGTGAGCAGACCTACCTTGTCCATGCCATACTCGAGCGTTCCTGTCTCCGCACCGTCGATGGTCACGAGCGGCAGCTACTCGACAGCCCCCACCGGCTATTCCGGGGCGGAGGTAATAGGTCTACAGCATGATATGCCTCGCACGACTTTCGAACAAGCGCCTACCTATACCGCAGCCTCGTCGATGAGCAGTTTTACTCCTGCGACGTATGCACCGATCAGCTATGCTCCCCCTCTCGCTCACCCACACCAAGACAGTCGCCGTGTTTCACATGTGTAAGCTTGTGACTTCTTTCGACAGGTTATAAAATCACTAGCCGCTAACAAGTTCCTTCCATTGCAGCGATCCTCGTGGTAATCATTCACAGCCTCCGTCGGGCCCTACATTTGGTGATGCTCTTGATGCCAGTCGTGGAATGGTCGCTCTCAGCCAGGATTTGACGCCTCGCAACATCTATGGTCCTCGTGCCCGGGGCTCGGGGGACTCATACGGATTTCCTGCGACCCATTCGGCGGGGTCATCCATCTCCTCGGGGGGAAATTACCCCTACTACAGTGCATCTGTTGCGTCGGTTGAGTCGTCTGTCACGGATTACAGTTCCACAACATCGGAGTCGTACGAGAATGGACACCTTTCGCGAACACTACCTCGCCCGTCGAACCTCTTGTCTGGGAGTGCTCCTCCCGGCCCACAGTCTATGATGAGCCAATTCAGCTCGAAGATGCCCTCCAACACACAGAAGAAGCACAAGTGCAAGGTGTGCGATAAGCGGTTCACGCGCCCATCGTCCCTGCAGACACACATGTACAGTCACACTGGGGAGAAACGTAAGTGCTTGATTAAATTCATCGTTGAAGCTTTCGATACTGACTTCGGAACTAGCGTTTGCATGTGATGTTGAAGGTTGCGGAAGGCACTTCTCTGTTGTTTCGAATCTCCGTCGGCACAAGAAGGTTCACAAGGGCGAAAAAGAAAACGTATCGGGTGCCGAGGACGAGTAGAAAATCCGCTTCTCTGCACTCGAAGACCGATTCCTTTCTTCTATACCTTTTTCGACGGATGCCAGAATCATTGAGTGTTCGTGTTATCGCGCTGTGCGACATCCGAACCTCTTTCCCATCAATTTGATGGGCTCTGGTCCCTTGTACAACAAACTCATCCCTCGCTGCTGTTACTCTTCTTTTTTTCCATTTTTTACTTTCCTCCCTTCTAATCTCTGCCAGGCCAGAGAATTGATACCCCTTTTCTTATTTTCGTGTTAAATCATGGATGGGCAGGACACGGTACAGGGACTTTGGGATTTTACACATTTGATGACCACTATATTCCCACGTCATGATCATAGAGGTACCGGTTGTTTTCCTGGTTGATTGCTCATTTTGTTTTCAGTTCTATTCTCTCGTTGGATCACTTTTTTTTTGCTTTTTTTTGGTCTCCACCCTTCTCTTGATCCTCGTATTATGAGGGGTGCCCTGGATTTTTACTGCGTTTCCGTGGCGTGCAACTGCATCCGGGAAATTATCGCAGCAGGCCTTCGTTTTCTTCTTCCTTTTATTCCCCCAGTCTAGAGGCTTTGGTCCTTATTCGATTCGTTTCATTTCTTTTCTTCCTATTATTTTCCCGCTTTCTTGTTCTGCGTCGATAACGTACGTCGACTGTCCCTCCGCTTGGGGGACATTGGTGGAGGACGACTTGGGCTGATACCCGTTGCAATTGGGCGGAGCATTAAAAACGGAACGCAGACACTGGCTTTCATTTTTTTAGAATGTCTGGAGTCATCATGTTTGGGGGTGGAGTTTGTTACAGCATGGACATCATCCAGTGTCATTTACGGTCGCTACCTATACACCTACGTACTATACCACTACTACCTAAACCTATTGCCTAATATACACATCCTGGAAATGCATGAGCACGTGTGTCTCAAGATTGATGTGTGGAACCCTTTACTGTTTTATGTATATAGCCTGTCTCACCACGAATACAATCGCACATATGAGCATCATCAAACAAGTGCAACGTCGCAGTGGCAATGAGTAATCAAACAGTGGAGGTCAGGCACGCCCTGGCTTTCAAAAGTGGAGATGCCGTTGAACAGAGTCACGAATGATCCAATGATCCAATCATAAGATCTAAATTCTGACCAACGATTATAGAGCCCAATATCCGCGAAGCGACCTTGACAGGGCCTCTTGTCAACGGAGACATCTATCTCAGCCTCTGATGTAACCGCCCCCGTCCAAAAATAAAACATACACGCGTCCCGGAATTCCCACCCCTGGAATATCCGCAACTCATATTGCTGCTATTCGCTAGCAATTACTATGGCACATACCACGAAATGGAGTCAAGGGTCCAGCACTGCAGCGACTGACTTGCAAGTTGCAAGGAGATACTGGGTAGAATGGGGATGAGTAAGCTGCACGTATACGTCAGCCAGCTCATTCCCGCGGAACTGAAAACGACCATTCCATCGCTTGCAGAGGGTGCCTGTGACTAAATGCTGCTCCATTTCATCATTCTGCGATCGTACTAATTGTCTACTGGTACCTCTCTAGAGCGGGAGGATAATTAGATTGTGACACGGACACCACACAAACATATGAAGACTGGAGATTTGCTGTGCTTTAGTATGCTGTGGGATGATGTCATATGCGGGATTTTGTTCTGTTCATCGTCAGGGTTAGGAATTTAGATGCGATCGCGCCACTAGCCAGTTAACTAGGTAAACTACCAAGATACCTACTTAGTATGAGGCAGATGTGGTCTTGGCCGGGGTTGTTAGTCCATGTGTTGCTTAAAATAGTGGATATCCCTTTAGAAGTAGTAGCTGGCGCGCGGACCCCCCCTGGGGTTCTACAGGACGATAATGGTACAACTGTAGACTGAAAAGACAATGGCTTAACAATATCATTGGTTTGCTCGCTATAACCTCCAGTATAAGTAGATGAAAGCAATAGGCGCCAGTTCCTCCAACAACACCATCCGCCACAAGACAGGCCCAGAATGTCAAAGTATAGAATGGGATCGACGACGAGGGAATGTGGTCAAAATACATAAAGAAGCCAGAATAGCTTTTATTTAGATTACAATCGATAACTCAGGCCTGGCCAGGCCATCGTCCTCCAACTCAGGATAGTACGGCACTATTGCGTCCGCGCTCTGAACGTAGGCGTCGTTGTAAAGTCGCCAGTATGGCGTGCGCACCTTGCGTGCTGGGTGGAAGAGACCGGCCCAGACATAGTTCATGACCACACCGGTGCCAACAGCCATTCGGATGGCATCAATGGCTTCAATGACACGATCGATGACGTGAGGGCTGGTTTCGAAAATGTTAGGGAAGACCAGGTTGAGCAGATGGACCATGGCGTCTTCACATCCCAGACCGACCACACCAAGGGCGATGTGTTTGACGACACTAGCAGCAGTTTGCCGATGCACTTGATCACGGTCGATGAGGGCATCCTCCAGCAGAGGAGTAACCGCATAGACATAGTCCTTAGCCATCTCGCCAATGTACTCGAACAAAAAGGACATGGCCTTCAGCACACCATTCTGGACATTCAGCTCAGGAACACGGTATTCGTTCATCAGAGCCGGAAGGACAGTGAACGGAGCACAGGTCTCGGCCACAATACCAATGGCGACAGCAGTACAGACACGGGACTGACGTTCCTGGACCCGGAGATTGTTAAGCAGCGTCGCCAGGACGTCCTGAGGGCCGATGGCCTTTGCGATGAAACCGAAAGTGTTATTCGCTGCACGACGGATACCCTTCTTGTGGGCTTTCAACATGTCAAGCAGTTCGAAGCAGATACGCATCCACTCGCGAGCGTTGACGGATTCGGGCCCACGATCAGCAATACGACCAACCAGATCAATGGTATTCTCTTGGACCTTCTCATGACGGTTACGCAGGATGGGAGTCAACCGTGGCAGAAGGTCGCGAATGGGCGGCTGCATCTGGTTGATACCCACGACGGTGACAATAGACCGAAGAGCACCGAGGATGGAACCGAGGACTTCGGGATACTCCTCACCCAGATATTCGTAGAGCACAATACCAAGCTTACCCATAAGCGCATCCTCTCCGCATTGCTTCATGACCATTGCGATACGGGAGATGAGGTCGGCAGCTTGCTGGCGGACTGTAGCGGACTTGTTGTTCAGACGCCAAAGAATGGTACTGACAATCTGCGGTAGGTAGGGCTTGCAACGAGTACCAAGTGCGTTAACCACCGTACCGAAACCGTTGAGGATCACAATATCCTCAATGCTTTGCTCCTGGAACGCATAGAGGACACCGTCAATCAGCCTTTCTTCAAGCCGCTCTGATATATCGGCAGCCCCAAGGGCGGCAATCAGCTTCTCAACAGTCTCAACGGTCATCTTCCGGTAAGGTTCGCTCTCATCCTTCAGGTTATTGACCACACGTTCAAGGATTTCTCCCACGCCGACTTTCTGTCCAAGATCGACAGTCGTGTCCACAACCTGGCGATAGTTCCTTCTGTCCAAAGCCATTCGCCTGACCCAGAAACTCTTGAAAAAGTCGGTCAACACGTGTTCCTTTAGATAACTAGCCGTCACGCCGTCAGTGCTCGCGCACTGTGATACCACCTTGAGAACGACCTTCTTCATTTCTTCATCGGGAGAAGAGAATTCACGTAGGAGAATCTCCATGATCTGACTGGTATAGTAGTTGGCATACTCTTCGTCCATAAGAGGAATGATGTAGCCGACAGCTTTCAGGAAAGCAGCTAGACCCTTGCCACGCTGCTTTCTGGCTCCGGTCCAGAGTGGGTTAAGAATCTCATCGAAACTCTCAATACCGTATGGATTAGCAGCCTCAGCTAGCGCAGCCACAGCAAGAGCAGTGACGGTTCTGACCTTGGCCTGTTCATCGCTAAGGTTGTCCGCAATACAGTCAACCAGTCCTTTCAGGTGAGGTAGAATAGCACAGCCCATGAGAATGGGAATCTGCTGGACGATCTTGACTCCCGTATGCCGCGCTTGCCAGGACTTCTTACTGCGACACACAGCACGAAGGAACGGAAGCAGAGCTGGAATACCAAGGGCAGACGCAACAACGGCAAATGCTCGAGCGGTTGTGTTCCGGACGTATTCATCCACGTGGTCGATATCGGGGCGCATAGTGCTGATCATGGTAGCAAGGCCAGCCGCCTTTGCCAAGTTGGAGATGATTTCTCTACCTTCAACACGGGCATAGTAATCCTGGTCGATGAGCAAAGGCTCGATGACGACAAGGATCTTGTGGACGTATGGGCGAACGAGATCATCTAGCTTGTAGAGCACACGATCAATGACCTTGACCAACAAGTGACGTTCTTGATCCTCAAGTGACTTCTCCATGAGCAGGGGAAGGATCTGGTTGAAAAGAGGGCCAGCGCCAAATTGCCGCGCGTTATCTGTGAGCTGTCGCAAAGCAGTCTTTCTCATGGGTGGTGTGCCGTTCTTGACCTTGAGCAGCAGCCTCATAATTTTCCTCTCTTTCAGTTCCTCTACCGACATCGTGCTCTCATCGCCCCCTTCCATCAATTTGCCAAAGTATGCCATATCTTCGGGCTTGAAGAACTGCAAATCGCCAACCCCCGGGATTTCAGTTGGCAGCTGCTTGCCCAATGCGCGGGCACTCTCAGGCTCCTGCATCATAAACCCTCCTACACCGCCAGCCGCGGGAACAGGAGCTGGGGTCGCCATGAGCTTTCTTGCAGGGGTTCGGATCGGTGCATATCCAGGCGGGGGCTCAAGAATCTTGTAGCCTTCTGAGGGAAGCATCATATCAAGTTCCTCATCAGAAAGAGGGGCGTTTCGAGCAGATATATCAGTTCCAAAACTGGTTGGAATCATAGCCACACCACCTCCTTGAGACGGATGCATTGGCGTCGCGAGTCCTTGATTGCCAACCGGTGTTGCGGCTGCGATTGCTGGAGCTTGATCCCATCTTGATCGCCGCTTGGGAGCCTCTTCGGCGGTGCCAGGCACAGCGGGCGCGGGTGTTTGATCCCATCGCGATCTTTTTGCTTTCGTCTCCGAAGGTTGAGGAGCTTCAGAAACAGCTTCTGTGGGTTCGTCAGGCACATCCCACCGCTGCTTGCGCTTTCGTCCCGTGGCGACAGAGACTGTCGAACCAGCCTCGGCATTTTCCTTATCCTCCAACTTCAGAGTGGCCTCATGTTCAGGGACACCGTTCTCGCCAAGAGCCTGTTTCTCTGCGATCAGCTTCTGGACACGCTCTTCTTCTTTCTCTATTTCACGGAGAGCCATAATTTCACGGTATGTCTGGCCATCTGTCTCCACATTGGCATGAGTGTTCGCCGCAAAGGGATCAGCCCTGGTTGGCGTAAGAGGGCCCCGATTGAATCGACGCTTTTGATAGTCTGTCTCCCGGTCTGCAATCCTGGCCGCCTTTTCGCGTCCCGTAAGGATATCCTCCTCCTCAACGCCATTGCCATGGGCAAACTCGTCAATCTGATCTTTGGTTGCGGTATACTGGCCAACCAGACGGTGACCGCCGTCCGCGTCTTCCATTTCTTCATCGCCATCAACAGCGATCGACGTGTTATAGCCTGCGTATTTTTCGGGACCCTCGCGGTCGTACAGAGTGGTATCAAAGGTTTCGGTCAGGGAGGCCTTGGTGGAGTTGTCAGTGCGCTGGCTAGACGAATCAAAGGTCCTAGAACCTTTTTTCCCAGCTGTAGCGGCATTCCGCTCAGCTTGGAGCTTGCGAACAGCCTCGAAATCAGCTGCAGAGGCAATCAGCGCGGCGTTTTCGGTTGGGGGTGGAAGAGACCTACCGTCAGACATGTTGGCAGCTATGAGTAGTCCGCAGACAAGATAGAGAGTAATATATCTCTAGTACAGGTAGCAGTAGCTACATTCGGATCAAACACCGCGATAACGGTGTAAGTGGATGCGGTCTGGGAAGCAATTTGCTGATGACTTGCGATGAGAACGAACTGAGCGCAAAATGGAAGTGTCGTTCGGGCCACGCTAGTTTGACGACTAAGTTATGTCATGTGACTTTGAGTGGCACAATCTCTTACTCGTCGCTGAGTAATCCACGGACGCCAAGCCATTACCGTTCTTGTTAAAGTAGTTTAGCACTGCCGCCCTAACAGTAAAGAGCATTATCACTGATTAGTGCTGGAAGTCAAACATCCTCTCAAACTCTGTCCCTCCATACCCTCCCAGAGGAAGTCCTCTAAGAAGTTATTGACAGTTTCTCCTTGCATCAGGAGGTTGCCTTACTTTCCCTGCGATGTCACTGCATACGTTCCCTTTGTGAGATGGCCACTCAGTATAAATATCACTGGGTGACGCTATGAATTACCTTAGTTTGTAAAGGCATTTGGGATGTTACTCTTATTCTTAAAAAAACTATAATTAGGTTTGTATGTCTGTAATATTCCGCAAAGTGATCACTAGCATTAGGGTACAGATTTGTGTAATCCTATAAACCATGCCCTGCAGAAAGAGTACTGGAGTTAGATAACTTACATAGGCTCAAAAAAGCCATTAAATGATTAGGTTTTGAGTTGGTGAAAAAGCAAGAGAAGATCTTAAACACACTGCTACAGGACTCTGCTATCATGGAGTATGGGCACTCTTATTTGCCTTGACCAATCCATATTCTCTGTTCCATGGGATCCTGTCATTCCTCTGCATTCTGAACTCTGATAAGTGACGACGACCCATAATCTCTGTTTGTGGCTTAAGCACTGGCAGCCCTCTTAGTCTTGGTCTTGTCTATGCTTGAGTTACTTAGCTTCTGCCTTATTAGATATGGGGAGCCTAAGCCCTTGAGATTGGAAGTAGAAGTGGACGGCGAACTGCTAGTGCTTCCTGTCACTGGTTATAGATTCAAGCATTTCCTAGAACAGGCAAGCATCTATAGGAAGAATATGCCATTCTTACAGAACCTCCAAGCTGTTAGGTTCCTAGTCGATCCAAACCCGCGTGTATATATCATCATCATATTATAATCTAGTTTACCTACATAAGTAGGCTAATAAACTTGAGAAGGTTCCTGCAGAGGATGAACAAAGGCCTTCTGATTCATCTATAGATGCTTGCTCTCTTCAAAATTTATTGTAACTAAAGGACGTCAGTCTAGGAGTTCATATTCTTTATCTTTACGCATGTGGATATGGTGGTACCTAGCTCACTAATGGATTGTTTTCCCTCATCAATCACCCGCCACCGAACCTCGGGTCACTCCGCATATATAGCTATAAGAAGGGAATGAAGCCGTGGCTGGAAGGTGTCTTGCAGAACTTCCTTGAGGACTAGCTTGCCAGGCTGATAGCTGAGAAAGATGAGAAACTCCTACGACTTGCCATTACTAAGAGTATCGAGGAGCCGATCCCGAATAGAGGGGCACATAAATAAGATACACTTTGGAAAGGGGATACAGACGATGAAAGGACAGAGTATGAGTATGCATAAGAGGCATAATATGAGACTTCGGACGAATACGAGTTTCAAGCTCATGAAGAGTCCCTGACGCATGTCTAGCTCCTCTAATTGATATATATGCGATCTATTGCGGAGCTTGCCTTCAAGCAAATGCAGGAAAGACAAGACCAAAGCACTGGAAATACAACCTGCGGCTTCATGTACACAATTCCTGATGAGCCGATGGAGTCTGCTCGGATTGTGGCCGCATCTACCCCTCCAGCAACACCGCGGTRAGAATGAGAGAGTAGCTCAGAAGCACCAGGGCAGACGTGCCTTGAAAACAAACGATGCAAATTCTCCGGCATACAATATTCAAGGAACCCAATAGTATCTATGAGTATGTCGCTGGCTAGCAATATAATATGACTTTGAACCGCACGAATCTTGGCATCAACTGAATATCCAGCCTGTTTATCTCGTTAGTTGCTTCGGATACTACGTGTTTCCAATCAGGAATATAGTAAAGTTGGAAGTCCAAATGATCTAGCGCACTTGCTTAGTCTGCTGAGGCTGTTTCCCATCATGGCTGCGAGAAAGGACGCAATGACCGAAGACTGACAGAAGTTCGAGCTTCTGAAGCAGACAGCGCAAGACTAACTGTGTGGAGGAGTCTGTTAGATTGAAGACGTGAGAGCTGTTTTCAGTTCTTCTTGTATCCCTTTGACTGCCAGACTATGAAATTTGCAAGAAGTCGAAGATCTAATGAGGCGGCGCTTAACATTCCGACATTGTTGGTTTTATCCTTGTCGCAACCAACAATGACTATACCACGGCCCCTCGTCCTATACTTTGCAATTGGCTTATCTTTCCGGTCATTTATTTTATTCAACTGATGTGTAGCATCTATCAAAGTCTATCTTAGACCTCGAGATGTCATGCGCCTTCACTGGTTGGTCAGACTCCATCGGGACTTCATATGTTCGAGACACCATGTGCCGTGTGTATCCCTCCCTCAGGATTACGGCGCGGCTAATATTCTATTTCTAGATTGTGCACACAGCCTGGACTCATGCTGTGCTCTGAGTACCTTCATCGTTCCAGGCTTAAAGAATTGATCTTAGGCATGCGGTGTATTTCCATTTGGAGGAAGGACCAAGTTCACGTTGTTGAGTCTACGAATGACCTATGGCTTTGCTTCCCTAAGAGGGGCTTTCAGATCTCTCCTCGTAGAAAAGAACTAATTGCAAACGCAACGGCATTGAATTCAGCCCTTATTATGCCGTGCATGCTCCTTCGCAAAGAGACGGGATCAGCGCCACTTGCTACAGCTGTGAAATAGCCAAACAGACAGCTGCCTCTATCAACCATGTTGGCTATCAAGTTCTTGCTTTGTTGGATGGCAGTGCTGAGCCATAGTTTCTATATCGGGATGAACAGACAAGTGAGCAAATATTTCAGTTCAGTTCTTTGTACATGCGTTCGGATGTCTCCTCGCCTATTTAGTATGCTGTTGGGCACATTATCCGGAGGATCAACCCTCAAAATTTGCCAGCACAAACATATTGACCATTATCTGCTCGACTCCTGCTGTTCTATTTCACCATGTATTTCCTGACGTCCATCTCCATTTTCCTTGCAATAAACGTGGCGAAAGCCTCTCCCCTTGTCTACGGCAACCGAGTCCTAACTGAAGATTTCGTAAAGATCACCGAAGCACTCGATGGGATACAAGTTGGAAACTGCGTTGACGTCAACCCCACGCTACCATTGTGTGATACGGAACCAGCTTTGCCTGCGCCGTCTCACGGGTTGAAGCTGAAATTCGTGGCACTTGGTCGGGGTACTCAGAACTACACCTGTTCGTCATCTGATGGATCTGCTTCTCCGGTTGCAGTTGGTGCTGCTGCGACACTGTTCGACGCATCCTGTCTGGTCTCGAATAGTCCGACAATACTTCATGAGCTGCCATCCGCCGTGAGCAAAGTATCAACTGATGCACTGGGCCTTTTTGCCGTGCTCCTCGGTCAAATGACTTCACGGACAGGCAGTGGGTTGATCCTTGGAGAACATTATTTTACCGGCACAGGAGCCCCTATGTTCGACCTACGTATCGGAGGCCATAAGGACTGGATTCAGGCTACGAAGGGTTCAAGTGTACCAGCGCCCTCTCAGTTATCGAGCCACTCGAAGGATGGAGACCACAATGTTCCGTGGTTGAAGCTTGGCTTCGCTGATGGTTTGGGTATTCGGGTAAGTCGTTAAGTATGCTTTAGCGACACTTCATTCGGCTGACAGGCATATCAGGAAGTATATCGGATACACACGTCTGGTGGACAACCGCCAGCTTCTTGCAAGGGCCAGAAGGAGAGCTTTGAGGTGGAGTATGCGGCAGAATACTGGTTCTATGGTTGACGAGGTCCGTTCATTTTCGCATCCTTCTTCTTGGACGATGGTTAGCTTGCTCTTCGAACCTATCCGTTGTTTGATTCTCGTAACGTATATCCTGCTGGATTGTTGGGACAGAGTGTTACTTTTCCGTAGTTCATGTCCACATTGCTCAATCTATTTCCCGAAATCACGCAGCAATGGATTCATATACTACCTAGTATTAAATCACTGTAGATGGAGAAAACCTGGGCGAAATGTTCTAAATGTCCGCTCTTGTTCAAAAATGAGTCATTTACTTCACCCGTTATATAAATAAAGAATGCGGGGATCGTCCGAGGTCGGGGTGGAGGTGCGGACAACCATCCGATCTAGTGGGGACGTTGAGCTCGATGGGATCAACACTTTCCGCAATTGAGGAATCCCCAGCACTGAGTCACTGCACGGAACTTTAAGAGTGAATTCGAAAAGTCTGCGAGACATTAATCTCCTCCGCGTTGCACCTCCCACATAAGGAAGAACTACTACGGGTGTTCCAATGGATCCAGCAACTGAAAAACACTATGTATCAGCAGACAACGCCAGGACATTCGTGCACTCCGTCTTGACAGGCAACGGCGTCTCTCCCGAAAATGCCACCATCATCGCCGACTGCCTGGTCCGGGCCGACCTACGCGGGGTGGACACCCACGGTATCAATCGCATCCCATCCTACATGGAACGCATCCGCCAAGGAGTGCTAGACGCCAGAGCCAACCCCGTGCTGAACCAGATCACCCCCGTCGTGGCCCAGGTAGACGGGCAGAACGGGTTCGGGTTCGTCGCCGCGCATCTGGGGATGAAGCGGGCGATTGAAATGGCGCGCGAGTTCGGAATCGGGTTCGTCTCCGTTAAGCATTCGAATCATTTCGGGATGTCCGCGTGGGTGGTGCAGCAGGCGCTTGACGCGGGAATGATGAGTCTGGTTTTCACGAACTCATCGCCTGCGTTGCCTGTTTGGGGTGGGAGGGAGAAGTTGATGGGTGTGTCGCCGTTGGCCTGCGGGGCACCAGCGGGAAAGGAGAAGCCGTTTATCCTGGATATGGCGCCCTCCATTGCGGCGCGAGGCAAGATCTACAAGGCTGCCAGGCGGGGGGAGAAGATTCCCAGCGATTGGGCTCTAGATGGCGAGGGACGGCCTACGGATGACCCGCACAAGGCGCTTGAAGGTGTGATGTTGCCTATGGGAGGGCCGAAGGGGTCGGCGCTCGCGGTTATGATGGATGTATTCTCGGGGGTCCTATCTGGCTCTGCATTTGCGGGACATGTCACTAATCCTTATGACCCTTCAAAACCGGCTGATGTAGGGCATTTTCTCATCGCGATCAAGCCGGACCTCTTCATGGGTTTGGAAGAATTCAAAGAGCGGATGGATTATCTTTACCAGAGGGTGGTGGGCTCTGAAAAAATGGCTGGAGTAGATCGCATCTTCTTTCCTGGGGAGATCGAACAGATCACGCATGAGGAGAGATTGAAGACGGGCATTCCGTATGTCCAAGCAGAAATCGATGCATTAAACAGGGAGGCAGAGAAAGTTGGTGCAGAAAGGATTGTTATTGATCGAAAATGATTCTGCTACTACAAAGCTTCTTGTGCTTATAGAAAGGAAGTACTCGGTATCATTTCAAAAAAAAAAAAACCTTCAAATGTTCGTGCGAAACATGTTAGGCACAGGCGCTATGTCAGTTCGACAGATGCAGAGTAATTCAGTCGGAAGCTGTACCTCAGTCTCATGGAACTATGGGTGGTGAAATCAGAGCCAAATCATTGCCACTTTGCCAATCATGAAATAATATAAACTATCAAAGTTGAATTGTTGAGCTGTTATGCCTGGTGATCACATGATCCTATGAGTGTGGCGCAGTACATGCAATATTCAAATGCTCAATAAATTGCCACAGTAGCTTCTATGGTGCCATGTCAGAAGCTCCAAGCCTGCCAGGGTCCAAGCTCTTCGCTTTCAGCTGTTGACTTTTTCGGACGTTCCGGTTAAGCTCGTAGACTGCGGCGACTCCGTGTGGAAGCAAGCATTCCTAATCTCAGGGCGGAAATGATGTGAGGCCACGCGATATGTCATAGTCACATGATCTATACCCTGGAAACTAGCCACAGCTTAACTGTACCGCGCGTGAACTTCAGCGCGTCTTTATCAGCTAGTGACAGCTCACTGTCCAGATTTGTTTCAGTCATTTCTTCATCAACCTAATTAGCTCATTTTCACTCTGCTAAGCGCAGTATGCCAATTGCCTAATTTGTGACAATTACACCTACCACCACTAAGCGCAAGATCTCGGTTCCGCCTGTCCTCGACGTGGACGTCCGAGCCCAATAACACAACACCTACCATCACCGTTCAACACCCTTCAAAATGACCACTGATTACAGCAAGAAGACAAACGCCGAGCTAGTGGAGATTCTCAAATCTCGCTCGCTCCCTCACACAGGCAAAAAGGCAGAGATGGTCGCTCGCCTCCAGGAAGACGACGAAAACAAAGCCAACGCCGCATCGGCCCCTGCCCCTACTGCAAAGACTGACGCCGCGGACGACGTCATCGACTGGGAAGATGATGATGTTCCCACCGCAGATACTACCGCCGTGAAGCCTTCTACTGAGGCTGGCGCAGCTGCCATTGCTGCTGGCGGCAAAGGTGCGGTCGCCAACCCGGTCGCTGTTCCGAATCAGAAACTCGACACCAACCCCGCTACTACGGACGATTTGAAGGTCGAGTCGAAGGGCGCAGCACCATCGGCTGAGACTGGAGCGCAAGGGCACGAGGGCACGGAAGGCGCGCCAGCTGAACCATCCACTACTGCCCCGGCTGAAGAAAAACCGGCACCGGACTATTCTATGGGGCTGCCCATCACCGAGATGGAGGAGGAGTTGAAGAAACGTAAGGCTCGCGCGGAGAAGTTTGGTATCACCGAGGAGTCCAAGACTTCAATTGCGGAGGCGGAGAGGCAACTCGAGAGGGCGAAGCGGTTCGGAACGGCGGTTCAGCCTACTCCTGCGGGCGGTGTCAAAGGTCTGGACGAAGCTCTCCCGACAGAGAAGTCTCGCAAGAGAGGTCGKGGCGATAATGAACAAGCATCACGGGGAGGCAAGCGACGTGATGTTGGCGGCAGAGGCAAATTCAGGGGAAAGGGCCGTGGAAATCGAAACCAGAATCACCGGAATGAAGGAAATGCTGGCAAAACTAGCGAGCAGAGTAACATTAGTGACAAAGAACGTCTGGCCATGGAAGCCAGAAAGACGCGATTTGCGACTGCGGCATAGTGTCGGGTATGCTGATACTTCCATCCAAACTGTACTCCATTTCATCATCGACCTCCCTTTTTCGGTTTCTTTATTTTCAATTTGCTGGCGTTACGGGAATATCTACAAGTGGAATATTATTTCATTCATGATGAAGTTGAGGCATTGTGACGCAGTAAAGAACCAAGTAATAGGCTCGATTACTATATATGGAATATTGGTACCATGGATTCATTAAGGTGTATAATAATCAAAGGAAAAAGCGTTAAAGAGCCCATTTGTCCAAATGCTCTACATCAGCGTTCATGATCCAAGACCTAGAAGGAGAGTAGACAGACAGCCCCCGCTTGGCAAATGAAGACTTGAGATGCTGCGCCGACCGAGTCAGCTGAAAAGTGCATTAGGCCCATTTCTAGTCCGCCAGTGCGAGTGGTTCCTGCAGCAGAGCAGCGCCTTCGACAATCAAATTACGCGGCTGATCTCGAATGATCGCGATGATCGGCAGCCTCTCTGCTCTTGCAGCTTCCTAGAGCACGAGGCTTCAAGCCATCCTCACAATCCTCGTATCATTGAACGCCTTGAGAATCTCGTGAGCTCTGTCTTCTGTCTTGCTCCTTTCCACTTTGCATGCATTTCTTTTTCTTTTTTAAACTCTAACCAACAACTGCAAGAATGTACAGGAAACCCCGTGATCATATATATGGATAGGCTTCTTTTTGACCTCAAAGTCGGCTCCTGTGAGCACGCTTGAATTGCCGCCGTCTCCACTGGCATCCCGAAGTCAAGGCCACTACAAAAGGTTGTTGCTTTTTCCTTCTGACGAATACGGTTATTTTAAAAGTCCCTCGTTCGCCATCGTTCTCAATCCAGGTGAATAGACCGGTATTGCCCCGCGTCTCGTTCGTCCGTTAAGTATCCCGTTCAATCACAGTCGTCACAGAAGTACGAAAATCGCTTCCTTGCCCGTTTAGCGGCGGATCAAAGAAGCCCCACGGCTCAGCGACTCCACAAATTCCGGGTGCAAAATTCCAAAGCCATAGATGGTGTCAGCCCAATCAAGGTCCATATCAGCAGGGCCACCAATTTGGCTTCAAGCCTCAGCTCTCGTCGGATGGCGTTTGTACGCTGTCAATGGCTGGCTTGAGGACTGTTCAACCGAATGCTCTGACATTGTCCGTTACAATTGTGGACTATGATTTTTAGAGGTGGGTTCTCCGTTTCTCGTCCTTTGTTCTCCTATCCATGGTTGTGTAAAAGGGACGGGGCGAACCTTGCAGGGAGGCCATAGAACATCAGAATCGGCGGGATAATAACATAATGGGAAGTGTCTCAGCTGGAATGGAAACCACCACCATCATCATCGTGCCATGTTAATTGGCAGGTCTCCTACCATATGCAAGCGTTACCAGGAGTGCGAATAGTAGTAAAGATGTCCAACTGTGTTACTCTGCAGAGCCATGCGCGTCCAGTTGAGAGCATGCCCTTGAGCTTGCCAATGATCAACAAGGCTTTGGTAACGCCGTATCGGCCTCGCCGGGGAMGCCTTGAGGCATAACTAATCTTCTTAGTTCGTGCTGTAGTAGACTAGATACTGCGAGGCAGACCAACAGTGGCAGAGACGCAGACTGGTCAGTGACCACCACATGACTTGCACACTAATATCCACCCACAGCTAAGAAAAGAAACTCGCCCAAATTGTCCGATACTAGTCCGATGAAGTTCATCAATCATCGTT